AGGTTAAAACCCTGTGACATTACCGGTTAATAACCCTGTATCATTACCCGTTAATAACCCCCTGTGATCATTACCAGGTTTTAAAAACCTCTGTGATCATTCCGGTTTTAAAAACCTCTGTGATCTTTTCCAGGGTTTAAAACCTCTTTTCTTACCAGGTTAAAACCTCGGATCATTCCAGGGTTTAAAAACCTTGTATCATTACCATAAAACCTCCTTTATGACCTTAGTTGGATACCTAATTAATAACCATTCCCCCCCCCCTCCATTCCTCCCTCCCTCCCCCCTCCCTCCCTCCCTCCGTTCCTTCCTCCCTCCCCCATTCCTACCTCCCTTCCTCCCTCTCTCCCTCCCTTCACCCCCCCTCCCTTCCTCCCCTCTGTTTCCCTCCCCCTCTCTCCCCCTCCCCCTCTCTCCCTCCCCCCTTCCTTCCCCCTCCCTTCCCCCTCCCTCCCCCCCTCCCCTCTCCCCCCTTCCTTCCTCCTCCCTCCCTTCCCCCTCTTTTCCCTCCCCCTCTTCCTCCCTTCCTCCCTCTCTCCCTCCCTTCCTCCTCCCTCCCCCCCCCCTTCCTCCTTCCCCTTTTCTCCCCCCTCCCTCTTTTCCCTCTCTCCCTCCCCCCTCCCTCCCTCCCCCCCTCCCTCCCTCCCCCCCTCTCCCCTCTCCCCATCCCCCCTCCCTCCCTCCCTCCCTCCCTCCCTCCCCCCTTTCCCTCCCTCCCTCCTTTTCCTCCCTCCCCCCTCCTTCCTTCCTTCCTCCCCCCCTCCCTCCCCCCCTTTCCCTCCTCCCTCCATCCTCCCCCCCCCCTTTTCCTTCATTCCCACCCCCCTCCCTTCCCCCTCCTTCCATTCCCACTTCCCCCCTCCCTCCCTCCCCCCCCCCTTCCTTCCTTCCTTCCTCCCTCCCTTCCTCCCCCCCCTTCCTTCCTCCCCCCCCCTTTCCTCCCTCTCTCCCCTCCCTTCATCCTCCCCCCCTTTCCCCCCTCTCGTTTCCCTCCCCCCTCTCTCCCTCTCTCCCTCTCCCCCTCCCCCCTCCCCCCCCATCCTTCCCCCCCTCCCTTCCCCCCTCCCTCAATTCCTCCCCCCTAAATTCCCCCTCTCTCCCTTCCTACCCCCCCTCCCTTCCCCCTCCCTTTCCCTCCCTCTCCCCCCCTTCCTCCCCTCTCCCCCCCTTTTCCTCCCCCCTCCCTCTTTCCCCCCCCTCCTCCCTTTCTCCCTCCCTCCCCTCCCCCCTCTCTCCCCCCCCCTCCCCCCCCCCTCCCTCCCTCTCTCCCTCTCCCATCCCTCCCTCCCCCCTTCCCCCCTCCCCCCCTTCCTCCCTCCCTCCATTCCCCCCCTCTCTCCATTCCCCCCCCCCTCTCCCCCCCCTCCCTTCCTTCCTCCCTCCCCCCTTCCTCCCTTCCTCCATTTCCCCCTCCCCCCCCCTCCCTCCCCCCCCCCTTTCCCCCTTTCCTTCCTCCCCCCCCCTTCCCTCCTCCCTCCCCCCCTCCTCCCTTCCTCCATTCCTCCCTCCCTCCCTCCCTCCCTCCCCCCCTCCCTCCCTTCCCCCTTTCCCCCATTCCTCCCTCCCTCCCTCCCTCCCCCCTTCCTCCCTTCCCTTTCCCCCTCCCCCCTTCCTCCCCCCCTCCCTCCTTCCTCCCCCCCTCCCTCCCTCCCTCCCTCCCTCCCTCCCTGCCCTGGGGGTGCTGGGTTAACAACCCGGGAATTAAAACAGGGGTTTTTGGGAACTCCCCGGGAAAATTTAACGCGAAAAGTCTAGTTAAGCGGTATGTTTGTTTTAGTTGTAACGTGACCGGGGGGTCCCACTGTGACCTGGGGCCAGCCTTGACCGGGGTCCAGCACGTGACCGGGTCCACCTGTGACCTGGGGTCCAGCACTGGACCGGGGGGCCAGCACTGGACCTGGGGTCCACACTGTGACCTGGGCCAGCACTGTCCTGGGTCCACACTGTCCCGGGGGTTCAGCATGTGACCTTGGGTCCAGTACTGTGACCTGGGGTCCAGCACTGTGACCTCGGGAACTAGCACCGTGACCTGAGGGACCAGCACTGTGGCCTAGGGACCAGAACTGTGGCCTAAGTTCCAGCACTGTGACCTTGGGAACTAGCCCTGTGACCTGAGAAACTAGTACCGTGACCTGAGGGACCAGCACTGTGACCTGAGGAACTAGCACTGTGACCTGAGGAACTAGCACCGTGACCTGAGGTCCAGCACTGTGACCTGGGGTTCAGAAATGTGACCTTGGGTCCAGCACTATGACCTGGGATCCGGCACTGTGGCCTGTGGTCCGGCACTGTGACCTGGGGTCCAGCACTGTGACCAGGGGTCCACCACTGTGACCTGGGGTCCACCACTGTTGCCTGGGGTCCAGCACTGTGACCTGGGGTCCAGCACTGTGACCTGGGGTTCAGCACTGTGACCTTGGGTCCAGCACTGTGACCTGGGGTCCGGCACTGTGCCCTGGGGTCCAGCACTGTGGCCTGGGGCCCAGCACTGTGACCTGGGGCCCAACACTGTGACCTGGGGTCCAGTACTTTGACCATGGTTTCAGCACTGTGACCTGGGGTCCAGCACTGTGACCTGGGGTCCAGCACTGTGACCTCAGGAACTAGCACCGTGACCTGAGGGACCAGTACTGTGACCTAGGGACCAGCACTGTGGCCTAAGTTCCAGCACTGTGACCTTGGGAACTAGCACTGTGACCTGAGGAACTAGCACCGTGACCTGAGGGACCAGCACTGTGACCTGGGGAACTAGCGCTGTGACCTGAGGAACTAGCACCGTGACCTGAGGGACCAGCACTGTGACATGGGGAACTAGCACTGTGACCTGAGGAACTAGCACTGTGACATGGGGCACTAGCACTGTGACCTGAGGAACTAGCACCGTGACCTGAGGGACCAGCACTGTGACCTGGGGAACTAGCACCGTGACCTGAGGAACTAGCACCGTGACCTGAGGGACCAGGACTGTGACCTGGGGACAAGCACCGTGACCTGAGGAACTAGCACCGTGACCTGAGGGGCCAGCACTCTGATCTGGGGACTAGCACTGTGACCTGAGGACAAGTACTGTAACCTGGGGACCAGTAATGTGACCTGGGGACAAGCACTGTGACCTGGGGGACTAGCACTGTGGCCTTGGGACAAGCACTGTGACCTGGGGACCAGCACTGTGACCTGAGGAAGTAGCACCGTGACCTGAGGGACCAGCACTGTGACCTGGGGACAAGCACTGTGACCTGGGGACTCCCTACCCTGGGTTATCCACGGTGGCTAACACCCCTACCCTGGGTTATCCTGGGTGGCTAACACTCCCTACCCTGGGTTATCCTGGGCGGCTAAGACTCCCTCCCCTGGGTTATCCTGGACGGCTAAGACTCCCTACCCTGGGTTATCCTGGGTGGCTAACACTCCTTTCCCTGGGTTATCCTGGGCAGCTAAGACTCCCTACCCTGGGTTATCCTGGGTGGCTAACACTCCCTACCCTGATTTATCCTGGGCGGCTAACACTCCCTACCCTGGGTTATCCTGGGTGGCTAACACTCCCTACCCTGGGTTATCCTGGGCGGTTAAGACTCCCTACCCAAGGTTATCCTGTGTGGCTAACACTCCCTACCCTGGGTTATCCAGGGCGGCTAAGACTCCCTACCCTGGGTTATCCTGGTTGGCTAACACTCCCTACCCTGGGTTAACCTGGTTGACTAAGATTCCTTACTCCATGTTAAATATTTAAATCCCAACCAACTTTAGGTGCTGTGGCTGTTGCGGTGATTGAGGTTACCTCACATTTAGAAGCAGGCCTGAACAGCAGACCCTCTCTCGCCTCAGGCTGGCTAACACCACGACAACATGCACTGTTATCGTGGTGTTATTCGTGGGTGTGGTATTGTAGTAACTAGTGTTCACATTTCTTCTCTCTCCAAAACTTTATTCACTGTTAACTTAATGATAATATATAACTATATATATATATAATATATATATATATATATATATAATATATATATATATATATTATATATATATATATAAATATATATATATATATATATATATATATTATATATATATATACACGAGTGGTTGACCGAGGTACAGTTAAGGCAGTGAGGACAATTATTGTGAGTGGCAGTCGACGTTAGCAGCTTGGCCAGCTTATTTAAGCTTCGAGGGTTGCATCACCAACTTAGTTAACCTTCGTGATCCCAGAACATTTTTGTCGATGTAAATTGTAAATATTTATTAAGAGCTCAAATTCAGGTCTACTCATTTAGAAATCTTGGAAGGAACGAGTCAGTTCGTTATAGCAGGCAAGTAGCGACATGCAACACGTCTCATGGCTTTCGTTATCAACTAAGTAGATTCTGTAGCAGGCAAAGGGAGTGAGTCACCTGCTCACTCCCTGCCTAACGAGGCGAAAATAAAAAAACCAGTAACTGTCTTCAATACAGTCATGACAGCACAATGGTGGCACCAGCCAGACAGTTATATAAATAACACACCCAATACGATTCATGTCATATTACTGCGAACACATTTCGCCCATCCAGCGACTTTATCAATAAAACACCGTAACCCGCACTGTCTTATTTACAAATGCGTTCATAACGTAGCATAAGTCAGGTGTAAATGATTCTTCTCCTTGATATTGTGATCTGAGATCTGTCATGTACGACAGGATAACCACACACACACAAGACCAGAGATATATTTCACATAATTCAGCCGTGACAAATGATATATATTTTTCTTCACGTGAGTTACTCAGAGCAGGAAATATATATGATACAGAAGAAACGATATTTGTAGCCAGGTGAGAGACGCTAGGTGAAGTTACTGAGGTGGCAGTAGGTGCGGTAGTTCAGGTGGGTCATTAAGGTTGCAAGGAGCCTGTTCACCACCAGTCAAGATTATTTTTAATCCTAATTTAGAGATTGAAGTTATATTATTAATTATAATAAATATTACTTATACTACCACTAATACTAATATTGGTGTCACAGGTGTGTGTGGAACGTGGTTGGCGGGTGTGGGAGGGGGCGGTGGAGGGGTCAGAGGAGTGGGGGGCGGCGTGCCCCTCCTGGAATATATGGTGGAGACACGGATTTCCCCCCGGGGTTTATCGCAGACTTAAACCCTACCAGGTATGTCTTCAAAATTATTTTTCATCAAATTCTAAATTACCAAAAATCTAAATTATATATATATATATATATAATATATATATATAAATATATATAAATATATAATATATATATATATAATATATATATATATAAAAATATACTTTCATGTTCCAGCCCCCTCAGCGTCGCCATCCAAGAGGAAATGCTTGCTGCATACTTGGCTCACGCCCCAGCCCGGAGGAGCTGGAGGAAATTCATGATCTTTGATACATTTTTGCCATTGTATTCATGTTTATGTTTTTTTTCTGTAAATGTATTTTGTTTATTAATAAATGTTCACATAGAAAAAAAAAATATATAGGGTGGTAGGAGAAGAAAATATTCAAACAGCTCCGGGAGAACCTTGAGTTTTTCCCTGAGGTACGTTTATTGTCTTCTCTGAGGATGGGGTCCCCATTCCAGCTATAGAGGTGGTACTTCCCTATATAAAATATATATTAATATATATATATATATTATATATATATAATATATTTTTATAAAAATATATATATATATATAATAAGTTTCAAAATAATTGATTGTAAGAAATGTTACCACAGGGAATCAACCACATACCTCGTGCCAATGGTCTGTGTAGGAAGGACAGGTCTGGCCCGGCACTGCAAAGATGAAGCAAGTTTTGGGGCTGTCTTTGACTTTATGTGAGTATGCACCACCACCTTGGTTAATATTACGTGAGTATGCACCACCACCTTTGTTAATATTATGTGAGTATGCACCACCACCTTGGTTAAAATTACTGAGTATGCACCACCCCCCTTGGTTAATATTACGTGAGTATGCAACCACCACCTTGGTTAATATATGTGAGTATGCACCATCACCTTGGTTTTAAAATTACGTGAGTAAGCACCAACCACCTTGGTTAATTTACGTGAGTATGCAAACCCCCACCTTGGTTAATATTAACGTGAGTATGCACCACCACCTTGGTTTTAAAATTACTGAGTAAAGCACCACCACCTTGGTTAATATTACTGAGTATGTACCACCACCTTGGTTAATATTACGTGAGTATGCACCACCACCTTGGTTAATATTATGTGAGTATGCACCACCACCTTGGTTAATATTACGTGAGTATGCACCACCACCTTGGTTTTTAAATTTTTAAAGTGAGTATGCACCACCACCATTGGTTAATATTACGTGATATGCACCATCACCTTGGTTAATATTACGTGAGTATGCACCACCACCTTGGTTAATATTACGTGAGTATGCACCATCACCTTGGTTAATATTACGTGAGTATGCACCACCACCTTGGTTAATATTACGTGAGTATGCACCACCACCTTGGTTAATATTACGTGAGTATGCAACCACACCTTGGGTTTAAAATTAAAGTGAGTATGCACCCCCCCCTTGGTAATTTACTGAGTATGCACCACCACCTTGGTTAATATTACGTGAGTATGCACCATCACCTTGGTTAATATTATGTGAGTATGCACCACCACCTTGGTTAATATTATGTGAGTATGCACCACCCCTTGTTAATATTATGTGATAGCACCACCACCTTTGTTAATATTATGTGAGTATGCACCACCACCTTGGTTAATATTACGTGAGTATGCACCACCACCTTGGTTAATATTATGTGAGTATGCACCACCACCTTGGTTAATATTACGTGAGTATGCACCACCACCTTGGGTTTAAAAATTCGTGAGTATGCACCACCACCTTGGTTTTAAAATTACGTGAGTATGCACCAAACCCCCTTGGTTAAAATTACGTGAGTATGCACCCCCACCTTTGGGTTTAATATTACGTGAGTATGCACCACCACCTTGGTTAATATCACGTGAGTATGCACCACCACCTTTGTTAATATCACGTGAGTATGCACCACCACCTTTGTTTTAAAATTACGTGAGTATGCACCACCACCTTTGTTAATTTTTTGATAGCACCACCACCTTGGGTTTAAAAACGTGATACTCTCATACATCCCCCCTTTGCCTCCAAGGACAAAGTTCTTTGCTCCACAGACCCAAGTGCACCATCCTCTTTTTCCCATAAATTTCTTGATTACCTCATTTTTCATAGACCCATCCGCTGACACGTCCACTCCCAATATTGAATACGTTCACCCCCCTCCATACTCTCTCCCCCCCAATCTGATATTCAATCTTTCATCACCTAATCTTTTTGTTATCCTCATAACCTTACTCTTTCCTGTATTCCCCTTTTTAATTTTCTTCTTTTGCACACCCTACCAAATTCATCCACCAATTTCTCTGCAACTTCTCTCAGAATCTCCCAAGAGACAGTGTCTCAGCAAAGAGCAGCTGTGACAACTCCCCTTTGTGTGTGATTCTTTATCTTTTAACTCCACGCCTTTGCCAAGACCCTCGCATTTACTTCTCTTACAACCCCATCTAAAAATTTATATTAACAACCAGGGTGACATCACACACCTTGTCTAAGGCCTACTTTTACTGGGAAAAATTTCCCTCTTTCCTACATACTCTAACTTGAGCCCACTATCCTCGTAAAAACTCTTCACTGCTTTCAGAAACCCTCCCTCCTACACCAATACACTTGCAACATCTGCCACATTCCCCCCCTATCCACCCTGTCATACGCCTTTCCAAATCCATAAATGCCACAAAGACCTCTTTAGCCTTATCTAAATACTGTTCACTTATATGTTTCACTGAAAAACACCGGGTCCACACACCCTACCTTTCCAAAAGCCTCCTTGTTCATCTGCTTCTCTATTCTCCGTCTTACTCTTAATCTTTCAATTATAACTCTACCTTACACTTTCCCAGGTACACTCAACAGCTTATCCCCTATAATTTTGAAATCTCTTTTGTCCCCTTTGCCTTTATACAAAGGAACTATGCATGCTCTCTGCCAACCCCTGGGTTTACCTTACCCTCTTCCATACATTTATTAAATAATTGCACCAACCACTCCAAAAACTATATCCCCACCTGCTTTTAACATTTCTATCTTTATCCCATCAATCCCGGCTGCCTTACCCCCTTTCATTTTACCTACTGCCTCACGAACTTCCCCCACACTCACAACTGGCTCTTCCCACTCCTACAAAGTGTTATTCCTCCTTGCCCTATACACGAAATCACAGCTTCACTATCTTCATCAACATTTAACCCAATTTCCTCAAAATATTCCCCCCATCTTCCCAATACCTCTAAATCTCCATTTAATAACTCTCCTCTCCTATTTTTAACTGACAAATCCATTTGTTCTCTAGACTTTCTTAAATTGTTAATCTCACTCCAAAACTTTTTCTTATTTTCACAAAATTTTGTTGGATAACATCTCACCCACTCTCTCTTTTTCTCTCTTTTTACATTGCTCACCACCTCTTAACTTCTCTCTTTTTTTCCATATACTCTTCCCTCCTTGCATCACTTCTACTTTGTAAAAACTTCTCATATGCTAACTTTTTCTCCCCTTTCTACTCTCTTTACATCATCATTCCACCCAAACGTCCTCTTCCCCCCTGCACCCAAATTTCCTGTAACCACAAATTCTGCTGAACACTCTAACACTACATTTTTAAACCTACCCCATACCCCTTCGACCCCATTGCCTATGCTCTCATTAGCCCATCTATCCTCCAATAGCTGTTTATATCTTAAACCCCAACTGCTCCACTTTTAGTTTATAAACCTTCACCTCTCTCTTCCCTGATGCTTCTATTTCCTTGTATCCCATCTAACCTTTTACTCTCAGTGTAGCTACAATAGAAAGTGATCTTGATATATCTGTGGCCCCTCTATAAAAATGTACATCCTGAAGTCTACTCAACAGTCTTTTATCTACCAATCAATAATCCAACAAACTACTGTCATTTCGCCCTACATTATTTTAATATATATATATATATATATATTTTATAATATATTATATATATATATTATATATATATATATATATATATATATATATATATTTATATATTTTTATATAATAATTTTATATTATATATATATATACTTCATGTTCCAGCGCCTCAGGCGTCGCATCCAGAGGGGAAATGCTTGCTGCATACTTGGGTCACGTCCAGCTCGGAGGAGCTGGAGGAAATTCATCATCTTTGATACATTGTGCATGTATTCTGTTTATGTTTTTTTCTGTAAATGTATTTTGTTTATTAAAAAATGTTTTACATAGAATAAAAAATATATAGGGGGGGTAGGAGAAGAAAAATATTCAAACAGCTCCGGGGAGAAAACCCTTGAGTTTTCCCTGAGGTACGTTTATTGTCTTCTCTGAGGATGAGGGTCCCCATTCCACCTATAGAGGTGGTACTTCCCTAAATAATATATATATATATATATATATATATATATATATTTATATAATATAATATATATATAATATATATATATATATATATATATATATTATATATATATATATATATATATATAAAATTTCAAAATATTGATTGTAAGAAGTGTTGTTACCACAGGTAATCAACCACATACCTCGTGCCAATGGTCTGTGTAGGAAGGACAGTCTGGCCCGGGCACTACAGAAGATGAAGCATGTGTTTGGGGCTGTCTTTGATTTTATGTGAGTATGCACCACCACCTTGGTTAATATTATGTGAGTATGCACCACCACCTTGGTTAATATTATGTGAGTATGCACCACCACCTTGGTTAATATTATGTGAGTATACACCACCACCTTGGTTAATATTACGTGAGTATGCACCACCACCTTGGTTAATATTATGTGAGTATGCACCACCACCTTGGTTAATATTATGTGAGTATGCACCACCACCTTGGTTAATACTATGTGAGTATGCACCACCACCTTGGTTAATATTATGTGAGTATGCACCACCACCTTGGTTAATACTATGTAGTATGCACCACCACCTGGTTAATATTATGTGATTTATGCACCACCACCGGGTTAATACTATGTGAGTATGCACCACCACCTTGGTTAATATTACGTGAGTATGCACCACCACCTTGGTTAATATTATGTGAGTATACACCACCACCTTGGTTAATATTACGTGAGTATGCACCACCACCTTGGTTAATATTATGTGATTTATACACCACCCCTTTGGGTTAATTTTACTGAGTAAGCACCACCCCCCTTGGTTAATATTATGTGAGTATGCACCACCACCTTGGTTAATATTATATATCATCCCTTCTACTTTATTTCTGTGTTTACTGTTTCTTCTTTATTCCAAATTTCTTATAACTTTCATTCCCAATTTAAAGATTCCATTACTCATCTCAGACTGTCATTTTTCAGTCAAGTTCATTATCTTTCTTCTGTTATCTTAAACTGGTAAAGAAGCCACTCCCACGCCCTCCTAGGGCGGAGAAGGTGCCAGAGCCAGAGCTTGCTACCACCTGCAACTCACAAGACTGCCATTCCCACGAGCCGCCCCCCTCTGGGGCGGGGAAAATGGCAGAGCAGAGGCCTAGCTTCTCCCTACGAGCCCCGTGAGGGCGGGGAATGGGGCTAGGCCTGGGGACACTTGGTCCCAGAAGATGAGGAGGTACTTGTGCCTTCTCCCATGGCAGACATAGGTCTCAGACACTCCCAGGACAAAGAGACACGGCCGGGTCATCATCTGGAAAAGACCCGGGCCGGGAGAGTACAGGAGAATCATGAAGATTAAACTGGTATATGATTTTGTTGGGATTTTTATCCCCGGAGGGTTAGCCACTCAGAATAACCTGGGGTAGGGAGTGTTAGCCAATCAGGATAACCTGGGGTAGGGAGTTTTAGCCACTCAGGATAACCTGGGGTAGGGAGGGTTAAGAACCCAGGATAACCCAGAGTAGGGAGGATTAACAACCCAGGATAGGGAATGTTAGCTACCCAGGATAACCCAGGAAAGTCAGTGCGTCATCATCGTGGACGGCTGTCTGTCTTATGTCACCCACATCAGTCCACTAACATCCACGTACCTACTTATTATTAAGTGAACAAGGAGAGCAGAGGGAAGGTGACTAACACCCAAGTACCTACTTACTGCTAGGTGAACAGTGACATCAGGTGTAAGGAAATACGACCAATGTTCAATGTTTCCACCCGCCTGGGGATCGAAGCACATACACTCAATGTGTGAGGCGAGAGTGCTGCCAACTAGGCCACGGGACACTTATGAGATTTCCTTTTAGTTATCAAGTTTTTTCCTACAGGACTACTGAAACACGGAATACCTTCATCCTTGATATAAACATTAGAGCACTCCAGGAAGATTTGAATAGACTGATGCAGTGGTCGGAGAAGTGGCAGATGCAGTTTAATATTGACAAATGCAAAGTTCTAAATGTTGGACAGGAAAATAACCATGCCATATATAAACTAAATAATGTAGATCTTAATACTACTGATTGCGAAAAGGATTTAGGAGTTCTGGTTAGCAGTAATCTGAAACGAAGAGAACAGTGCATTAGTGTTCCAAATAAAGCTAACAGAATTCTTGGCTCCATATCTAGAAGTATAAATAATGGAAGTCCTCAGGTTGTTCTTCAACTCTATATATCCTTGGTTAGGCCTCATTTAGACTATGCTGCACAGTTCTGGTCACCGTATTACAGAATGGATATAAATGCTCTGGAAAACGTACAGAGGAGGATGACAAAGTTGATCCCATGTATCAGAAATCTTCCCTATGAGGATAGACTGAGGGTCTGAATCTGCACTCTCTCGAAAGGCGTAGAATTAGGGGGGATATGATCGAGGTGTATAAATGGAAGACAGGAATTAATAAATGGGATGTAAATAACGTGCTGAAAATATCTAGCCTAGACAGGACTCGCAACAATGGTTTTAAATTAGAAAAAATCAGATTCAGGAAGGATATAGGAAAGTACTGGTTTGGTAATAGAGTTGTGGACGAGTGGAACAAACTCCCAAGTACCGTCATAGAAGCTAAGACGTTGTGTAGTTTAAAAATAAGTTGGATAAATACACGAGTGGGTGCGGGTGGGTGTGAGTTGGACCTGACTAGCTTGTGCTACTAGGTCAGATGCCGTGCTCCTTCCTTAGTGACGTGACTGACCTGACTAAGTCAAGGCATTGGCTAAGCCGGTGCGAGAATTGGACCTGCCTCGCATAGGCCAGTAGGCCTGTTGCAGTGTTCCTTCTTATTTATATTTTATATATATATATATATAAATATAATATATATATATATATATATATATATATATATATATATATATATATATATATATATATAATATATATATATATATATATATATATATATATATATATATATAAATCTTAGAATATATAACACGGAGAGACATACAGCTCACTGTATATATATCATGTGACAGATATACACTCGCCTCAATGTATATACACTGAGTCGTCACTCGATGTTTATAGTCAAGCCGCTGGGAATTAAATAAAATAATATAAACAAGCTACTTAAATAATATTTAAATATGGAGTTAATACTTATAATAATAGTTACAATAATTACTGTAATTTTATGGAAAAGCAATAATTTTGTATTATTACATTATCCTGTGGAAAAAAAATTGTTTTACTAAAGTTAGCGTGTAAAGAAAACGTTAACCTCAGTTTTCTATGAGAGAGAGTTTAAGTGGTAACTAAAGTATTTCTAAAGTGCCATTGAATTTGTCGCAAGAATGGCTCAATGTTTGCCTTGCCTGACAGCCCTGCAACGTACCTGCTGCCGTGTGAGTACACCAAGCTGGTGGCTGAGTACACGCGACTCATGTACCACAGCAAGCAGGATCAGGGGCCCAAGAGTCCAGCAGGAAGCACAGGTACTTAAATAATATTCGATGTAGTTAAATTCCTGATAATTCCAGCTGCCTGCTAAATTAAAAAATAATAATAACTAAACCTAAATAATCTTGACCTAAATTAATATATATTTTATGTTTTCTGTGTTTTTGTTACTTTCTATATAAATTAAGCATTATAATTATCTTTAAACCTCTAAAGCTTACCTTATCAAACATGACAATTTATATGAATTAAACTCAATATAAGAGGATAACTTTTTTATATTCCTGTGTTTCAGATTTATTCATGTGTGGTATATATGACTTTTTAAATTTTTCTTTCACAGAATAAAATAGCAAGTCCTTCCTTTACCCTTGATATATTAGGTAAATTGACACATGCAAGTAATATGATACTATTTTATTGTAGCAACGTTTCGTTCTCCAGCGAAACGTTGCACACAATAAAATATCACATTAGTTGCATGTGTCCATTAACCTAACATTAGGTAATTCTACCATTATTACCTTGAAAAATTCCGAGAGTTTTTATACTGCCGTTCTTCCTCTCACTTCTGTCCCTCTCACTTCTAACATTCCCTCAGGTCACTCAGCGTCCCTCGGGTCAAGCCAAACACCAGGTCAGGTCAGCCAAGACGCAGCATCACACAACATCTGGATTTGCAAGCCTATTGGCAGTTCTCAGGGACGAGGCATATCCATCTTCCAGGTAACTGCCTTAGCTACTGAGTATAAGAAAAGAGGACCACATTCAGCAGGTCTACCAACCCATATTTGGCAGGTCTTTGTAGTGATTATGACCTCTTATTACTGTAATAATGTTGGTAGACTTACCGACAATATTTTAGGGGAAAATGACAAATGCAACTAGATTGACAATTTTCTGTGGCAACGTTTCGCTCTCTAGAAGCTTTGTCAACCTTTGTCAAAGTACAACTTTTCTTACCTTAGTCTGTCTTGTCTTATTCTATGTTTACGTTGAGCAAAAAGGCACAATATCTTAACTATAATAATACACAAAAAGGAGAGAGGAGCTTATGACGACGTTTCGGTCCGACTTGGACCATTTACAAAGTCATACTAACGGAAAGGAGAGGAGCCAGTATACTGCGGGTTATTTGTGATGTTGAAGAGTTTGTGCCGAATGTTCCATTCGTATTTACCGCTTCACGTGATGATAATAACTGGTGTTGCAGGACCTGCACGAGCTGAGCTATACCACGAGTGCTGTGGTACAGAGGTACATCCACAACCCCCTGCTGGTGGGAGGCTACAAGTGTGACGTGAGGCTCTACGTATTGGTCACCTCCTTCCTTCCACTCACCGTCTATATGTACACGGAGGGCATTGTCAGGTATGACATATACTTGTCTTGCTGTTGGGGATTATATGGCAGCTCTTAGTTCTCGTCTTGCGAAAGAACCATGCGGTCAGTTAACGGAGGTTCGAGCTTCCAATACACACTGTGTTAGATGAAAGGATATGAATGCATATATTTCATCAATAGTCTAGATGAATGGCCTACTTATAGTAAGTGTTTCACGTACATTAAATAATCCAACCTAGAGACTAGCGTAAGTGTGTGAAACATTGGAGGCTAGATCTTTGGGTTATGGAATTAAACCAAACCTTCCCTCTTTAGTAGGAACCGCGACTGAGTTGAGGAGTTAGCTCTCGAGGAGTCTGAGGGGAGTAAGGTTGTCTATGGATTCCAAAAGGGAGTGTACCAGAATATAATGCTGCCAACACTTTGATATGAGTGTGAAGTATGATCTTGATATGAGTGTGAAGTATGATCTTTGTATGAGTGTGAAGTATGATCTTTGATATGAGTGTGAAGTATGATCTTTGTAGAGTGTGAAGTATGATCTTGTACTGTGCCAAGGAAAAAATTGGAAGCAATGAAGATTTATATTTGAGATCAATATTTGATGTGAATATTTTGCAAAGAGGAGGCACACAAATAAGAAGACGACTGAGAGGTATTAGAGGCATCATTCAAGGAGTGGAAGCTGAGATGTCACGCTCATGTAGACAGAATTAAGAAAATTAACTTGATCAAAATGATGTAGACGTTGTAACTTATTGAATCATTTGCATCATGATGTCTGTGACCATTTATAAAGAAAGCTAGTGCTTAAATAATGGTAAATGAGTTATTCTTCTAAAAGTGCTTTACTGCCTTGGTGGACTACAACCACTGTGATATATATATGAATATATAACAAGAACAGGAATCACTTAGCACAAAGGAACTTCCTACCCAAATTTTAATTTTTTTTTACAGGCTCTGTCTTCTCACTCTCTTCCTTGACCTGTCCTCTCAGGCTGTCACCTGACACTCTCTAGAGTGTCAAGTGAGAGGTCCAACTTTTTCCTATAAATTCGTGTTCTCCTTTCACTTGTGGGTCTGCTGAAGAGAGTCCCAGAAGGGGGTGGAAATATATAGATCAATCAATCTCCACTGTTTCTGTTCTATGTGGGTTATTACTGAGAAATGACAAGTGTTCAGTAAGCTTTAGTTATTTATATAACAGATCCTTTACGTTATGACTCACGAAATCGTCATTACACGATTATAAGCGAGTCTCAGAACGGGTTGTGAGTCTGAGGGTTCACTTGCCATGGGTTCGATCCCCTACCCGTTCTGTGATTAATAGTATTAATATTATATTATAATCAAGTTTTCAATTCATCCTCAGTAATTTATATGATTTTCTCGTTTATAAATAACATTTTCATTGTAATTAATTAAAATATTATAAAACAGTCAAATAAAAAAAATTGCAATAAACGAGATGAATTTGAGTTTTTAAATATTTTCTTATTATTTTGGCATCCTTATTTTTTCTTCCAAATAAAGTGTTTGAAGGCAGTGATGGAGTCTGACAGGTTTGGCACTGTGACAGGTTTGGCACTGAGAAGTACAGTCTCGCATCTCTGGACAACATCTTCAGCCACCTGACCAACACGTCCCTCAACAAACAGGCTCCTGGCTACAGGATGGAGAAGGAGAGGGTCGGAGCTGGTCAGTCTCATACACACCTCTGCAAGTTGCCACAGTAACCCCCCATTAAATAAACCTAGCAACCTAATACTAATGGCTATAATCATAATTATTATTTTTAAATTGGTGGAGTAGTAAGCCAGTGGAAGGACTCGGTCGGATGACCAAAAGCTCCAGTTGCGGGTCATCATATGACTAAGACCCGTATCAGGAAACACGTGTTCTATTTCCTGACAAACCTTACCTTACCTAACCTAAATGAAACTTCCTGCCCCTGCAAGTTTCCGCAGTTTCCCCTGTTAAATCAACCTCACACGCTTACTTGAGGTTAATGGCAGTCTAACCCCAAGATCCTTGTAGTTAATACTTTAATACCTGAAATCTGACTGAAATATAGATCTCACTTATAACACGAGAACACATACTCACCATCTCGTGTATATAAACTGATTCCTATAAACCGAATCAAAACAACGACTAAAACAAACACCATCCATAAGGTACATTACCTACAACAACAACTGCTGCTGATCGACACCATGCCCAGCCCTTCTAGGGAGGGTAGGTGCCTGAGCCGAAAGCCATTAGCTCATAAGAACTGTCATTCCAAATAGCCCCTTGTGGCGGGATGGCAGACCAAGAGGCCTAGCTTGTGGCTAGGCCTGGAACAGTTGGTCCCAACGATGAGAGGTACTTAGTGCCTCCTCCCATGGCAAAACTAGGTCTCAGACACTCCTAAAATGGGAGCCAAGGCCGTGCACAACTATGGACAAAGCCGGGCCGGGAGAATACCGGCGAATCTTTAATAATAATAATAATAATAATAACTGCTGCTACTCTAACATTACGTTTACCCTAAATCACCTTACACATGTATATCCTTTTAAATTCAACAGAAGCCAACGCAAAAATAAATAGAAAATCTTTCCCATAAATAATTTTAAGCCTAGTAAATCCTAAACTTTTGTAATACTAAACTAGACATAACCTAACTTAAACTAGACATAACCTAACTTAAACTAGACATAACCTAACTTAAACTAGACATAACCTAACTTAAACTAGACATAACCTAACTTAAACTAGACATAACCTAACTTAAACTAGACATAACCTAACTTAAACTAGACATAACCTAACTTAAACTAGACATAACCTAACTTAAACTAGACATAACCTAACTTAAACTAGACATAACCTAACTTAAACTAGACATAACCTAACTTAAACTAGACATAACCTAACTTAAACTAGACATAACCTAACTTAAACTAGACATAACCTAACTTAAACTAGACATAACCTAACTTAAACTAGACAACCTAACTTAAACTAGACATAACCTAACTTAAACTAGACATAACCTAACTTAAATAACTAGACAACCTAACTTAAACTAGACATAACCTAACTTAAACTAGACATAACCTAACTTAAACTAGACATAACCTAACTTAAACTAGACATAACCTAACTTAAACTAGACATAACCTAACTTAAACTAGACATAACCTAACTTAAACTAGACATAACCTAACTTAAACTAGACATAACCTAACTTAAACTAGACATAACCTAACTTAAACTAGACATAACCTAACTTAAACTAGACATAACCTAACTTAAACTAGACATAACCTAACTTAAACTAGACATAACCTAACTTAAACTAGACATAACCTAACTTAAACTAGACATAACCTAACACTAACCTAACTTACCGATACTGCAGAGTAAATGTTATACAGCACAACCACACTCATCACGTACTCTCGTCATGTACTCTCGTCATGTACTCTCGTCATGTACTCTCGTCATGTACTCTAATGCTAACATTCAGGACTCACTATACATTACTATGTTTTCAAGAACAGGTTTTAATTTTATTGAAATAAATGAGATTATTATAAAGTTATTCTTAAGTCAGTGAACAATACGCAGTTTGAGAGTAAGGTACGGTAACCAGGTGGTCCAGTGCAGGTGACTGATGCATTTTACGTGACTGTACACATCAGGTGACCCAAGTAGAGATGCGAGTCTATTGTAAAGTTCCTGTTAGGTCAGTCACCTGCACTGGACCAGTCAGTCACCTGCACTGGACCAGTCAGTCACCTGCACTGGACCAGTCAGTCACCTGCACTGGACCAGCCAGTCACCTGCACTGGACCAGTCAGTCACCTGCACTGGTCCAGTCAGTCACCTGCACTGGACCAGTCAGTCACCTGCACTGGACCAGTCAGTCACCTGCACTCGACCAGTCAGTCACCTGCACTGGACCAGTCAGTCACCTGCACTGGACCAGTCAGTCACCTGCACTGGTCCAGTCAGTCACCTGCACTGGACCAGTCAGTCACCTGCACTGGACCAGTCAGTCACCTGCACTGGACCAGTCAGTCACCTGGACTGGACCAGTCAGTCACCTGCACTGGACCAGTCAGTCACCTGCACTCGACCAGTCAGTCACCTGCACTGGACCAGTCAGTCACCTGCACTGGACCAGTCAGTCACCTGCACTGGACCAGTCAGTCACCTGCACTGGACCAGTCAGTCACCTGCACTGGACCAGTCACCTGCACTGGACCAGTCAGTCACCTGCACTGGACCAGTCAGTCACCTGCACTGGACCAGTCAGTCACCTGCACTTGACCAGTCAGTCACCTGCACTGGACCAGTCAGTCACCTGCACTGGACCAGTCAGTCACCTGCACTGGACCAGTCAGTCACCTGCACTGGACCAGTCAGTCACCTGCACTGGACCAGTCAGTCACCTGCACTGGACCAGTCAGTCACCTGCACTGGACCAGTCAGTCACCTGCACTGGACCAGTCAGTCACTTGCACTGGACCAGTCAGTCACCTGCACTGGACCAGTCAATCACCTGCACTGGACCAGTCAGTCACCTGCACTGGTCTTTCCAGACATTGTTAACGCCATAAATCAACAAGACACCCTTGACGTAGGATTGCAACTCGTGTTTTTGCTAACCATTCTTTTCACCATGGCTTGTGGAGGTTGCAAGTGGACTGTGGGTGAGCTGAGGAGGTACCTGGGTAGCAGTGGTCAACCAGACTGGTTGCTGTGGCAGCGAGTGTGTGTACTCGTCTCTCTCACACTTCTTACCCAGGTCGGACACGTCCCTCACCACCACAACTGCTTCGAACTCTACGGCTTCGATATCCTGGTAATTAAGTCAGTTTATTGGGGCCTGGTCACAGACCGGGCCACGGGGGCGTTGACCCCCGGAACTCTCTCCAGGTATACTCCAGGTATGCAGGTACACATGAATACGGTTAAACAAGTGATCTCGCAAAGTAATATGTGTACATTATCTAGGATAACTCAAAAAGGTCTAACGAAGTGACTTATCTCCACTGGGTCCTTAATAAGTCAGTTTATTTAAGCATAGGTACACATAAATACAGTTATGCAGATTATTATACATAATAACATGCTTAACAATTTGCAAATGGGCGAAATTTTGACAAACTTTATCTCTCGGTCCACAGCAGGAGTCGAACCTGCACACTTTGTTATCAAGATATACAGTACTTTGATAACACAGTGCGAGTCTTCAACTCTCCAGCTGTGTCCCTTTGTTGCTGTGTCACATCTCTGTCCCTGTTTACCTTGTCATTTCCTCTCAGAATTTTATATGTCGTTATCATGTCCCCTCTATCTCTCCTGTACTCCACTGTCGACAGATTGATTTCCCTTTACCTCTCCTCGTAGAATATACCCCCTTAGTTCCCTTAACCTCTCCTTGTAGGACATGCCCCTTAGCTCTGGAACTAGTCTTGTTGCAAACTTTTGCACTTTCGTGCTTGACCAGGTGTGGGTTCCATACTGGTGCTGCAAACTCAAATATGGATTTACCGTACACGGTGTATAGAGCTTGAATGATTCCTTACTCAGGTATCGAAACGCTGTTCTTGGGTTTGTCAGGCGCCCGTATGCTGCGGCAATTATCTGATTGATTTGCTCCTCAGGAGATATGCTACGGTATTATACTGACCCCAAGATCCCTTTCCTTGGGTGAGGTTTACAGTCTTTAGCCCCTTAGGCTGTACTCTGCCTGTGGTCTTCTTTGACCTTCCCCAGTCTTCATGATTTTGCACTTGGTGGGGTTAAACTCCAGGAGCCAGTTGTTGGACCAGGCTATCCAGATTCCTTTGTAGTCTTGCCTGATCCTCATCCTTTTGAATTCTCCTTATTAGCTTCACATCGTTTGCAAACAGGAACATATCTGAATCTATCCCTTCTGTCATGTTATGTCGCACTCTGGTCTTCCCATTGTTTTTACTGCCCTTGGGTACGAACCTCTCCTCCGTCTCCTTGCATTTTGTGGTCACATATTCCGTCAAATTATTTACTGTTTTCCCACCAGTTTGCTTTCCCACTGTACCTCATGTAGAAAATTCCTCATACCTGTGGTTTCCTCTTTTGTAGTTTGGTTTCCCTGTCCTACTCATGCTGCATCATTCTCCAATTTTAACTGTACAATGTATTCAAAGCTCAAGACCACGTGATTACTAGCTTCCAGGGGCCTTTAATAAGTGATGTCCTCAGTGTCTGAACTACTCAAAGTAAATATGAGGTCTAGCCTTGCTGATTCATCCTCTCTTCTCTCTCTCTCTCTCTCTCTCTCTCTCTCTCTCTCTCTCTCTCTCTCTCTCTCTCTCTCTCTCTCTCTCTTTGGTAGTGTCCCTAACACATTGTTCCTACTATGTAATCCCTTTCCTTCTGTCTATTCCTTCCATCTCCCTAAATCTCCATTGGTTTTTCATGAGCAGTGTAACTCCTCCTCCCCCCTCTGTTCTATCTTTCCTCAGGATCTGATATCTGGATGGAAATATCACATCTGTTATCATACCCATGAGCGTCATTTCTATGAGCACTGTGATGTCTGGGGATGCCCAGATGAAGTTTTTGTGCCACTCTTCATATTTATTTGTTATTCTGTCTGCATTGGTGTACCATACCTTCAGCTTTTATGAGAGGGTTGTGGGGGCTGGGGGATTGAGAGACCTGGCTTGATACTATGGTAGGCTGCTGTGAAAGTAAAGTTTGTGATGGGGGAGGGACACTGGGTGTGGAGCATGAGTTGTTTTGGGTTAATTTGTTTGGTTGTGGTGGGGTTGTCAGGGTTGAGGGTGTTCTGTGGGTGATTCTGAGGAAGGGTGTGTTTATTGATCTTCCTGAGTCTGGGCTGCCCTGCCTGTCTCTATCCTTGATTCTCTTGCCCCATGTGTCTTTGTATCCTCTCAGTTTCTGTTGCTTTTCTCGGGATCTGTCATGATTGAAGTATATCCACTGATAATTTGATTTTGCAGGATCCTGTTTTGCACCGTTTCTGACTTGAAAATCAATTTGACTGTACGATTTCTGTCTACCTTCTATTTTTGCTTGTTGCTGATGTTCCTGTTCCTGATACCATGCCCATTCTGCTCTTTTGCTCTGTATCTCGTTTCAACATCTTCTAAGCTCTGTATCCTAGCCTCTGCAGCTGTGGCTTATAGCTCCCACTTCTTGTTCTCTGTAGCCATCTTCTCCTCCATTTTATTGTTAAACTCATCTAGCCTTCTTTCCCACTCTTGTTCCCTCTTCCTGAGCTCTGCTGTCCATTCTTCCTGGGTTCCCGAATCTTCGTACTGCTTTCTGGAATCCCATTTTTTATGCTAGTTACCATGAAATGTATAGCTTGTTTGAGTGTATGTGTGTGTATGCTGTGACAGTAAATACTTACTATGGTTGCCTCACAGGTGGATGACACGCTAACACCGACACTGCTGGAGGTCAACAGGTGTCCCTCTCTGAGCTACGACTGTGACGTGGACCGGGTGGTCAAGAAGCCACTGCTGCATCACCTCTTCGACCTGCTGGGGCCTCCCAAGGTAGCCGAGCCCCTGGGGCGAGGTCTCAGACCCCCTGTACTCATTCTCCTTGCCCGTGAGAGAAACAAGAAAGAGAGCGAGAGAGACGCTGCACTTCTTAACCACAACTTCTTCACCGCCTTCGACCTGAAGCAGTACAGCCGACTCATGGAGAACTTGGAGGTGTTCCGACCTCGGAAGAACCGGAGCAGTGTGTGTGAGGACTGTGAGGAGGGAGCTAGTGGGCTGAGGACACCCAGTACGCCTCCTACTGCCCACCGCGCCTTACCAAACTCCTACTGCATTGATAACAATCGAGTGGCCAATAAGAGAGACTCTCATAGGAACCCCAGTACAAAAGTTGTCCCTGCGTCAGGGGTAGGGCGCTGCGGTGCTTCACGCAGACGGCGGTCTATATCATCTCTCTCAGGCGTCCCTCACGACCCTCTAGTGCCGGAGGAACTCAGCCTGGACACCTTCGTCCCTCTAACTTTCAACACGACGTTCCAGCGTGTACGTCGACAGTTCGTTAACAACCACCACAGCAGCAGGGGTTATATGTCTCTGGTGAAGGAAGGTCGGGACAGCCAGATGCTTGATATAGTCGGCAGCAGTCGGCCCGGTTCCTCCCGGCGTGGCGAGGGAGGTCGGGGACCTCAGCGATGCCCAGCCAGATGTGGGGACTGGGTGAGAACTTTCCCTTACAACGCTGCCACGCTCCACGCCAGTAAAGATCCACTGTACACCAAGACTCTGGTGCTGAGCTGCACAAGTACAAGCGAGCATGTGAGAAGGTGTTCAGGGAGAACCCAGCTGCCTCAGACGACTTCCTCGACGCTCTAGTTCAGAAAATGTTGTGGAGAGACAGCGTTATATGGAGGCCCAAAACTTAACACAGTGGCGTGCCAAAGTTTAGCCTCCATCTTGTAGTGTCAGTAGACGTGTAGATGTTTTTTCTCACCTCAAACAAAAAACTCCACTGCCAAAATATATGTTAGCATCTTGCAACTGTCCACTCGTCTTTTTCAAAATGTGACGAGCATATTTTGTGCCTTTTTTCACATCCTCATTTAGTATATAGATCTTAGAGTCCTCTGAATATTCATTCATCCAGATCCCGTGAATAAGACCCGTGAATAAGACACGATATAAGTTTCATGTCAACCTGTTGAGAAGACATTTCGTCTGCCTCATCAATTCACTAGTGAAATGACTCATGAACTCGTAATAACACGAATGTAAACCACGGAACGGGTGGGTTTGAACCCTTATGGCGAGTTTAAGAACTCATTCACCATGGGGTTCAAACCCCACCCGTTCCGTGGTTTACAGTCGTATTATTACGAGTTCATGAGTCAGTTCACTCGTAAACTGATCAAGTCCCCTTGAACGACAAGCGATTTCAATAAAAATGCCACAAATCGCATACCTTATTAACATACTAGTCGACATACTCTGCCATGGGTATACATCCCTTGAGTCCGTGTCCCATACGGAGTTCCAGGCGCTGTATGACCTCTTGGGTTTAGCGCCTCCCCATGACAATGAGACTAACACAGCGTCCACCACTCTCCTTCCTAACTCCCGCTTGGATCTAGTTTTTTTCAGTCTGTTCATAACCAGAGGAAACCATGTGTATAACTTGAGGGTTACCTGCTGGTGGGTTCCCTGCTAGTTGGTTCCCTGTTAGTAGGCTCCCTGCTAGTTGGTTCCTTATTAGTAGGCTCCATGCCGGTGGGTACCCTGAGAGTAGACTTTCTGCTAGTAGGTTCCCTGCTAGTTGGTTCCTTATTAGTAGGCTTCCAGCTGGTGGGTTCCCTGCTAGTAGAATCCCTGCTAGTAGGTTCCTTGCTAGTAGGCACCCAACTAGTAGGTACCCAGCTAGTAGGTTCCCTGTTAGTAGGTTCCCTGCTAGTAGGTACTCTGCTAGTAGATACCCTGCTAGTAGATACCCTGCTAGTAGGTTCCCTGCTAGTAGGCACCCTGCTTAAGTACTCACCTCCTCACGTCTCAATAATAATCTTGGTTTGACTACCAGTAAGTGTTTTAATATCCTCCCATACATTCATACACCATTCTGACGTGTATACCTGTGTTGATGTGTGCTAGTAGGCATATGTGACCTGTTATCTTACATATTGTCGTGTTTATGTGTTGTTATCTTACATATTCTTATGTGCCAGTAGATCTTAATAATGAATATCCTCTGTCTGGTCTTCTCTGGATAAATCAATGCACGAGTGACCTTGAAGAGAGTTCCTTGCTGCTGTGCTGGGTTCTTGATGTAATTAGACCTTCATTACCCTTCATACCTTGATACCTGATTACCGCTTCGTTCCCAGAGACTGTCTGACTCCGCTGGGTTCAGTGCTTCCCCGTAAATGCAGTAATAGAGGTCGTCAAGTGAAGCAAACGTTGACAAAGGTTGCGTCAGGTGAAGCCTCGCAAGGTTTCCTCCACCTCCAGCACTGACATGCACCTCCTCCACCACAATCCTTCCCCTCCCCAACCATACCCCCTACCATTGCTCCCTCAGTCACTACAACGCCCCCTACACCACCTACTCTCACCTGGTGATGCGGCCAGGTACACAATATGTGTAAATTACATATGATAACCCAAGAAAAGGCAAAGTAACTTATTTCCATTGTTTTAAATCCGCAGAGCACCTTCAACTTAATAAATTTATTTAGGTACAGGTACACATAAGTATAATTATCATACATAGTGTAAACTACCTGGGATAACCCAATACAAGTCAGATAAAGTGACCTATTTCTATTGGAGTCCTTGTGCTTATTTCCACTTATTTCTCACTTTGTCAAAATCGCATCATGAATACAATTTGGGAGGACGGTAAACACACGGGTGTGTTTCACATCTATAAGAAAAAGAGAGCAGGCAACTGGGAAGTGGGGGGAGGTAGGAATGAGAAAGGTGGGGCTGTTTGGCTTAAGCTGGAGCGGGATATGAGTGTTCAGTCTGTTACAGTTGCCCCTGCGAAACAGAAACAAAAGTCTGTCCTGCCGGTTTACCAGAACTGTCTAGTTAGTGGTCAAGCACACACAACACATGTGATATATAATCCCGGGATAATCTTTCAGTTCGTCATAGATCTCTGACCAGCTTATCTCAAATTTAACTTCACAGTTTTTTTTCCCCAAAGTGTTCGCTACGATCCCCCATAGTGTGACGACCTGCAGTGTTTGTACCAGTCACTCTCAGTGACGACCTGCAGTGTTTGTACCAGTCACTCTCAGTGACGACCTGCAGTGTTTGTACCAGTCACCCTCAGTGACGACCTGCAGTGTATGTACCAGTCACTCTCAGTGACGACCTGCAGTGTTTGTACCAGTCACTCTCAGTGACGACCTGCAGTGTTTGTACCAGTCACTCTCAGTGACGACCTGCAGTGTTTGTACCAGTCACTCTCAGTGACGACTGCAGTGTTTGGTACCAGTCACTCTCAGTGACGACCTGCAGTGTTTGTACCAGTCACTCTCAGTGACGACCTGCAGTGTTTGTACAGTCACTCTCAGCGACGACCTGCAGTGTTTTGTACCAGTCACTCTCAGTGACGACCTGCAGTGTTTGTACCAGTCACTCTCAGTGACGACCTGCAGTGTTTGTACCAGTCACTCTCAGTGACGACCTGCAGTGTTTGTACCAGTCACTCTCAGTGACGACCTGCAGTGTTTGTACCAGTCACTCTCAGCGATGACCTGCAGTGTTTGTACCAGTCACTCTCAGTGACGACCTGCAGTGTTTGTACCAGTCACTCCCAGTAATGACCTGTAGTGTTTGCACCAGTCACTCTCAGTGACGACCTGCAGTGTTTGTACCAGTCACTCTCAGTGACGACCTGTAGTGTTTGTACCAGTCACTCTCAGTGACGACCTGCAGTGTTTGTACCAGTCACTCTCAGTGACGACCTGCAGTGTTTGTTCCAGTCACTCTCAGTGACGACCTGCAGTGTTTGTACCAGTCACTCTCAGTGACTACCTGCAGTGTTTGTACCAGTCACTCTCAGTGACGACCTGCAGTGTTTGTACTAGTCACTCTCAGTGACGACCTGCAGTGTTTGTACCAGTCACTCATCTATCACTAAACTTCATACAAGATCAGCGAGACTCATTCGAGTCTTCAGTCTTGTTCCCTGTGAGCAATCTTTGCAGGACAATAATCAGGGCGACGTGTAACAGGGTGTTCTGTACGTTAACACTGGTTCTAGTTATATTCTTGGCTCCAGACAGACGCTTTGAACCTTGTTAGGTCTCCTGCAGACGTTTTGAGCCTTCTTGGCTCCTTGGCAGACATTCTGAACCTTCTTGGCTCCCTGGCAGACGTCTCCACCATCTTGGCTCCCTGGCAGACGTCTCCACCATCTTGACTCCCTGGCCGACGTCTCCACCATCTTCGCTCCCTGGCAGACGTCTCCACCATCTTGACTCCCTGGCAGACGTCTCCGCCATCTTGGCTCCCTGGCAGACGTCTCCACCATCTTGACTCCCTGGCAGACGTCTCCACCATCTTAGCTCCCTGGCAGACGTCTCCACCATCTTGACTCCCTGGCAGACGTCTCCATCATTTTGGCTCCCTGGCAGACGTCTCCACCATCTTGGTTTCCTGGAAGACGTCTCCACCTTCTTGGCTCCTGGCAGACATCTCCACCACCTTGGCTCCTGGCAGACATCTCCACCATCTTGGCTCCTGGCAGACATCTCCACCATCTTGGCTCCTGGCAGACATCTCCACCTTCTTGGCACCTGGCAGACATCTCCACCATCTTGGCTCCTGGCAGACATCTCCACCATCTTGGCTCCTGGCAGACATCCCCACCAACTTGGCTCCTGGCAGACGTCCCCACCAACTTGGCTGCTGGCAGACGTCTGCAGTAACAAGATGGCACCACGGAGGCTTCCCAAACTAAGTCTAATGAGAATCTTCGCGGTGGTGGTAATAGTACCGACAGCAATGGTGTTCACTGTGCTGGTGACCATGATCAAAAGTGTGAGTATCACCTACGACCTTATACCCTTATGTCCTCTACCTGTATACAGCTCTTGGTCCGACAAAACCCTGCCTTCTATCCCGTCCTTTGATACTGCTAATTACGAACAAAAAGGCACAATATCGTGACTAGAATCATACACAAACAACTCACACATAGGAGAGAGGAGCTTTCCACGAAGTTTCGGTGTGGGACCGAAATGTCGTCGTAAGCTCCTCTCTCCTATGTGTGGGTTATTAATGTATACAGTCCTTGGCTCGACGGCTACTGAATGAATGATGGTGAGTGTGTTTCTTTTCGGGTTACCCTACCTAGGTGGGATTGGGTTTGACTTTAAAAGAAAAAGATAATCGTTAATCCATGAGGGTTATTCAGCGCTTTTGGTGCTGCAGGCTCGGTCCTCCGTACGGTTCACAACTTGATACAGGCTGCCTATTGGCTTTCACATTCTATATGAGACCTCCTTTCAGAGGTGCTCTTGGTCCAAGGCAAACATGATCACTTCCCATTCATTACATAAATTTAATAATTTTTAAAGGGGTGGAGGGGTAAGCCAGCGGAAGGCCTTAGTCAGATGATCAAAAGCTTCAACTGTGGGTCATCATATGACTAAGACCAACGTTAGAAAGCACTTGTCCTGTTTCCTGGAAAACCTTAACTAACCTAACCTAACCTAACCTAACCTAACCTTAACTAACCTAACCTTAACTAACCTAACCTAACCTAACCTAACCTAACCTAACCTTAACTAACCTAACCTTAACTAACCTAACCTAACCTAACCTAACCTAACCTAACCTAACCTAACCTAACCTAACCTAACTCCCTTTAAAAAACCCTAACCTTAACTAACCTAACCTAACCAAACCCAAACCCAAACCTAACCAAACCCAAACCCTTAACAAACCAAACCCTTTAAACTAACCTAACTAACCTAACCAACCTAACCTAACAACCCTAACCTAACCTACCAACCTAACCAAACCCAACCCTTAACTACCTAACCTAACAAACCAAACCAAACCCAAACCAACCAACAAACCCTTAAAAAACTAACCAACCAAACCCTAACCTAACCAAAACCTAACCTCCCCAGCCAAACCCTAATAACCATCCCAAACCCAAACCCTAACCTAATTTAAACCCCAAACCTAACAACCAAACCCTACCAAAACCCAACCTAACCAACCTAACCTAACCTACCCAACCAAACCCCTAACCAAACCTAATCTACCTAACCAACCCAAACCTAACCCAACCTAACCTAACCAAACCTAACCAAACCAACCCAACCAAACCTAACCTTCCCAGCCTCCTAACCAAACCTAACCTTACCTAACCTAACCTTCCAACCTAACCAACCCAACCTCCTAACCTAACCTAACCAAACCCTAACCAAACAAAACCAAACCAACCTAACCAACCAAACCTTAACAACCCCCTTAAACTAACCAAACCCAAACCAAACCCAAACCAAACCCAAACCCCTTAAAACCAAACCCTTTAAAACTAACCTAACCAAAACCTAACCTAACCTAACCAACCTAACCTAACCTTAACAAACCCAAACCTTAACTACCCAAACCCTAACCTAACCTAACCAAAACCAACCTAACCAAACCTAACCTTA